TTAGCACGGTGGATAATCCAGCTGGTTTTAGCTGAAGCTCCGCATCATCGCACAAATTTTAATAAGATAAAGTTAAAGTTTCAGTTAAAGACTCCTTGTAGACGAAAAACTCCTCTATAAACCGCTTTCTTTTGAAATCTAAGGCCTAGCATGTGACGCTAATGTCTTGAGGAATTGGCAAAAAGTTGCTAAAAACCTTCGTTAACCTTCAGAAATATTTCCCGAATGAGTCCGTTCGTCCGGGATTCGTCTTTGGGACAAACTGAAACGGTCGATAAAAACATTAAATCATGTTGTAGAAAAGAAAAGTACTTTGACAAATGTGCCACAAAGAAGTTTTAATCAAAAAAATCAATAAAGACTGCATTAGAGGCTAAAAATATGGACATATTTACATCAACAGCATTTCCAGTGACTACGCTGTGAAGCGTTCGCATAAACATTTACTCTACAGCGCATTCAGTAGAAAGGTTACCTCTTTATAGCATCGGGTAGCAATGTAAACATTCACATATTAGTTTCATGGAAGCCCTTTTCAAACACTTTTGGTTTCGGTTCCCAGCGGAAATGTTTTAATCGCAATCAACATTCCGTCTGCGAGCTGCAGGGAAACCAACGGAAAACCTCCACTTTGGAGTTCAGAACAAAGATGGCCGACGTCCGACGTTTTAAGAAGGGGTGCGTCCAAACAAACAAACAAAGCAGTTCGTAGCTGGTGGGACAATGCAGTTGGATATTTACAAAGAAAGAGTCAATCTAAAAACAAAACAAAAAAACCCTAAAAAAGCGATTGAAAAGAAACTAAAGGCAACAAAAATAAAATCTTAAACGTCTCGTCGAAATTAAAATTGGAATCCAGTGTTTTAATGAAGAAGCTCCCACTGTGTTCCAGTTACGTTTAGAGTGGAACTCTGATGGAAACCATGAGTCCATTTGTCCCGTAGATGTGGAGCCGATTGTCCAACAGGTGGTTTGTGCTTCAGAAACAGGATTTCTATGATATAAAAAGGTCTAAAAAGGTTGATTCCAAATTAAAAAAGTGTGAGAAGTTTTCTTCTATCTGCCGTTGATCCGCAGTCGCCTCACATTCAGTAATTGGGTGGTCAGACTACATGACTTCCTGAAACAAAGAGCCTTTTAGGGCCACGGAGGCCAGGAAACGTCGGGTTGTGGCTCTGAAGCGGGGAGCCGAGGGGACGCCAGATAGTCAAAGGTTTTCTAAAATAACCCAAACAAAGATGGCGACTCTGCTTAAATTTGCACCAGCTACCTTTTTCCTGCTCGCTCCTCACCTCAGTCTCCCTGTCTGAGCCCCCCCGCCCCCCCAGTGCACCGGTTCTTTTCGTTTCCTCCCAATCCCACCCCAGGGTTTCCCGCTCCAGTCCTAGATGTGCGTCAGCGGGACGGTTCCACTGAGGTAGTGCTGCTGGACGCTGGCGTAGCCCCTCTGTGCACTGGCGGGATCCGAGGAATCCCCTCCGGGTCCTGGTATGTACATGCTAATCATGTCCCTGAGGTCCCCCTGCAGAGGCCCTCGGTGGTGGTTCGGCGTCGCCGTGGAGGGCGAATGGGACACCGGTTCCGCCTTCACCATGGGCATGTTGACGGGGCTCAGCTGCTGCGGGCTGCTGCTGTACGACATGGGGCTGCGGAGGAAACAACAAAAAAAGACAGGAAATTAAAACATGTTCTAACTGGAAGCACTGATCTAACCTAAATATCTCCAACAGGAAACAAAATGCAGAAATGATTTTAAGATGATCAGAAATAATCAGGTTTCTGGTTTAACCCAGAAATAAAGCTGCTGGACTTCAATTTTTCTGGAATCTGGTGTAAAATAACATAAAAACCTGCGGAGGAGTCTAAATTTATGTCTCCTTGAACCATAGTCAGCCGGTTTCATCCTGTTCAAAGGGAGTTTTTCCTCTCCACTGTCGCTACAAGCATGCTTGAACCAATCTGACTGGATGATCTGCTGAACTGTAAAGTGACGTGTTGGAAATTGGCGCTATAGAAACAAAATTAATTCTATTCCATACAAACGCGTCTTTTTCTGAGCGTAAAAGTTTAAAAGAAAAATCATAACTTTATACTTTTACCTTCTATATCTCAGGAATTAAACATGTCATGCCTCATGTTTGTTTAAATTAACAAATATCAATTTTGACTTCATCAGTATAGGTTAATTGAATTAAATCCACTAATATAGAAACTTTTGTTTATTATTGGCAGTGATGTCACCCCAAACAGGAAGATCAGGAAGTGGGACCGTCCTTCCTGAAGGTTGGAGATTAATAATAATTAGCGTTAGCATGTCGAGGCGATGCAGGGATTAGAGGTAGTTAAACACACCCCACTAACTGCAGGCCGTCATTCCTCGGCTCTCTAAACCTGATCTGACATTTAAAACGTCGTCGCTGCCAAGATTCTGAGCAGCAGGATTCATCAGCGCCGCCTTAAAACAGAGGTTACCAAAGGTTTTCTACGGCCGGGGGACCCCTACCCCTAATGCGCAGAGAAGCAGAAACATTTTATCTCCGTTCAGTTATTAGTGTTTGGCATTGGGAAAAAAAAAAAATCTTTTAACAAGTTATTAGTTTGTTCAACCGACTTTTTTTTTTAGTTTTTTTTTAATAAAGGCTTGAATAGTTTGACTTTATTCAAGCCGATCCCCAATATGTGATGCCAATTTTTTGGGGGGCAATATTCCGTTCTCTTCCTCCATTTACATTATAAAAAAAATTAAGCAATAAATGTGCGAAAAATTAAAAGAAAAACTTAAAAAACAAAAATAAAAAAATACAAGAAACAAAAAAAATTAAATCTAAATGACAGCAAAAAATACTGACCAGCCAACGTATCAGTCCATCCCTACATTTGGTTAATAAATACTAAAAAGTTGATAAGAACAAAACAAAGACCTCCCAAGTGTGTGTGTTGGAAGGGGGCGTGGCCTAACATTTTATTTATTTATACGTTTGACAGGCCCAAAGGATTCATTTCACTTGTGAACATGTCTGGTTAGTTTTCAACCAGAGTTTGAGGGAGATTTTAAAACTTCTGCCCCAAACATGATCTGGCAGAGTGATCCATGACCGACTCCTCCGATGGACGAAACCATTTGGCCAAATTCGGTCCTTCGATGCAGAACATCACAGTCTCCCCTGATTATAGCCCTGCTCTTCATTCTAATAATACCTTATTGCTTCTAAAATCCTCCTGAGGAGAAGAAAGTCCATTACAAACTTTAAAAACATGCGTCCAAAAATATCTGATATTCAAAGTGTAAAATGTTGAACTTACATAAAATGTTACAATAATGAAAACAAATCTTTTTGGTCAAGAACTTTCAGAGTTTTCTTGAAGAGACGTCTGTTAGCAACAACAGGTAATGTCCATTTGAACCCTTTCAGTTAGCCTTAAAGTTTAGCTGTAAATCAACATGGATTTCATGTTAATGAAACATTAATCCAAGTTTTATTTAATAATTTATGATAATTGGAAAAATAAGGCCCC